GACAGGCATATGAGGTGAACATTTACCTGAGGTAGATACACTCCTTGGAGAGAACAAGCATGGGAGAAAGAGGGCTGTCCATGCACAGGGAGACAGCTCAGGGGGTAGGAGTGCATGGAGGGATGGACACAGGGAAGAGGTAACTATTGGGAGGAAGGGGGAGTGGAGTTGTTGCATTGTGATAAATTGTAGACAATGTCATGAGACAAAGTGTATGTGAACTGCTGTATGGAAAGTGAATTTGCTCTGTGTATTTTCACCCAAATCACAATTAAAAAAATCCATTAAGTTTCACACTGAAGCACTATTATCTCTCAATTTAAGTACATTCTTCTTTTTAGAAGAAAAACTGCTCTTCAGTTATGAAGGAAATGGTACATATGACTCAGTATGCCTAAAGCAGGAACTTGATATTACTTTGGTTTTCCTTGCATGCACGTGTGAATATATATTATTGACATGTTCTCATTCATGTGCATGAGGTTATGAGGTAAAATGCATTTCATAATGGTTGAAAAGTTACTGGTCTAGAGATGTAAAATGAGGAATATAAAGGATTCCAGTAAGGGTAGGAGCAGTCAAACAGGAAGCTGCATGCCACCCAGGGATGGTCTACTGAACTACTTTCTAGCATGTACACTTGGCTCTATTACTAAATAACATACTATTTATAAATCTAACAAAGAATTCTAGAAGATGATAGCTAAGAATGGCCACACACAAAATGAATTCTAAATCAGACTTGTTATCAACACTGGCATAAATTAAATAAGCTAGCTTGCTCTATTTACAAGATAATCATGCTTCTTTCCTTTCTTTTAAGTTAAAAGTAATAAGACTACTACATGTGCAGATGACCACTCCAAGTCTGTAGTCTGGGAGAGGATTATGCTAGACTGAAAGTCAAGGTCCTCCAAACCCAATATCTCAAGTTCTGAAGGAAAGCTCACCTCAAAAAGGATTGGCCTGGTAATGTTGTACTGAGTCTAAGGGAAGAAAGATGGTGGGAAGAAAGATGATGGTAGGTCTGGGAAATAAACTGAACATGGAGCCTTAGGTGCAGAGCTCTGAAGCACATTTCTAGAAAAGACAGAGAACATGAGAGAACAAGTCATTTCTCCTGAATACCCACATGTAAGGCTCTGTAGGGAATGCAAGGATGATGAGTCCAGACATAAATAGTACGGTAGGTACCATGAGAAGTCCCAAATCTATGGGAGTTCAAAGGGAGGTCATATCTACTAATACAAAATAAGAAAAATTCACAGAACACTTACATTCTTTCCTTCAAGCAGGCTACAAATATTCACTGAGCACCTACTAGGAACCTAGCACTATTCTAGGTACTGGAAATACAACAGTGAACAACATGGATACAGTCCCTTGGTATAGCTTATATTTTAATGGGGGAAACACAATAAATGTGCATTATGATGCCAGGTAGTGGTAAGAGCCACAAGGTAATATAAAGTAGGGTAAGGCTAGAGCAATGCAAGAAAGGAAGGAGTGGTCAGAAGTCAATTTCAAAAACAATGATATGGAAGGTCTGAAGCAAAGGTGAAATTTGAGAAAATACCTGAAGGGAACAAACTAAACAAAGATGTGTGGGAACAGTTCCTGGCAAAAAAAAAAAAAAAAAAAAAAAAAACAGCAGATGAAAAGGCAGTGAGCTTGTGGTGGAGAAACCAGAAGAATCCTGAGGTAGAACAGAAAA